CTGGGACGTCACCTCGAGGGGTTTAATGACGATCTCGAGTCGCAATTTACCGTTCCAGTGATATAATTGGGCATGGAATTAAGACAGAAGAAATCGTTATGCCAGATGATCAAAATTTCCGTTAATTTCGTCAAGAGCCGTTACCCTCGTCTTAACCGTCACGACCTAGTAAATGGGGGCTGCCTGAAGGAGCTATCTCCGTATACAGCTGAGAACCCCGGAATGTACACGCATACTGGTGATCAGGGCCAAATGGAACGCCGAAACGAAAAAAAATAATTAAATAAAAATTAAAAATCAAATTAGTTAAATATATATATATAACCACCTTATTGAGTAACAGAAAATCCATATTTCCATGGTTAGGATAGCAATAATAAGAATAATTACCGAAATTGCACAATCACATAAATAGATAATAGCAAGGAACGCTGTGGTTCCGTGGATCAACAATGTGATCTCAAATGTTCATTACCACGTTTTTTCTTGTCCGTTTCTTTTAGAGTTCTGGGACAAAACCGCGCACTAATCAATAAATCCAATAAAGGTATATATATATGGTAAGGATAGTGATACTAATAAGATAAGAAAAAGAAAAAGAAAAAGAAACCAAAAGAGTACAGGAAAGAGAGTTCATCAGTGGTCACCACAGAAGTATGGGAGCTGACGAACAAAAATACCAAGTAAACCCAGATCGGATGTGGAAGGGGACACAGAGATGAACACCCAGGCCAAGAGGAGGGGGTCTGTTACCCAATCCCCAATGATTGACAAGCTTAAAATCCTGGTGAGAAGTTCCCCGACTTCCTATCTTACCTGGTTGCGCATGTCAAACTGGGACGGGGAATGCGCAGCCACCCCATCCTTGCCGAGCGGACTATTGGCAATGGATGCAGCGGACGGGCGCCGACGTCGATCCGTTGGCTCAATCTTTTTTTTGCCTTACTTCCTCGTCTCCTGATTGGCATCGGCTGAGCACCACTGCTTCACTAGGCTATCAACCAAACAACCTGGAAAAACTAAAATACTCGAAAGATAGAAGAAAAAGGAAATAACTAAAATAATAATAAAAGTCAAAAATAATAATTATTTTTTTTTAAAAAAAAAGAAGAAAAATTACCACAACTCCACAGAGAACAGTACGCTTCTCTATTGGGACATGGCGTCTGATCCTCTTTCTTTTCCCCCTCTCTTGAAATTCCCCTCTTTGAGAGAGGGTAAGAGACCCCGTTCCGGGCGATGTCAGTGACTATTCTTAACCGTCCATCTAATGCAAGCCACGAACCTCCTGTCGACCCAGCAGGAAACTGGCTCGACGAATAAGGGGGATCTTCTTATTTTGAAGATGAACCAAATTCTCACCAGCAATGAAATGGGAGACGAATGAAGAGATTAAATAAAATACGAAGGCGAACAAATCAGAGAAAGGAAGAAAAGACGTCGCCCCATTCCAAAGGGAGAAGAAGGAGAGACGACTCACAGCTCTTTCGAGGCCCTGTGTGAAGAGTGAGCTTATTGGATTGGACCCGCCGGAGGATTGGAACTATTCGCGGTTCCGTTTCGAACGTACAGAACTCAAAAAGACTAACATGGCCTACGGAGCGAAAAAGAACCCCCATGGAGATCTACAAATGATGGAGATCAAGTCTATCGGCTGCTAGTCGGTGTTGCACTGGCCACTATTACCCACCCGCTGCTCCCATATGCTGCCAACCAAGCAGGGACCTTCCTGTTCGTGGGTATAAGCCTCGTCACAACAGACACAGACTAGGGTCTTGCTATCACTTGCTCACTTGAGGACAATTCCTAAAGCGACGTGAGCGCCCAGCGGGATTTCTTCTCCCCTTGACATTGAACTTACTACCTAGCCGATGACCAGCCAAGAGTGACCCTACTCAAAGGACTTGACGATCGAGGTTGGGTATACCTCCTTTTTCTTTCCCTTAGACTGTTTTATTGCGTGAACCTCTGAATTTTATTATTCTTTTTTAAAGATCGCCTTCTTTCAATTTCCCATTCTCCCTAACTTTACTCTCCGTTGGCAAAGGAAGGGAGTGTGATCTCGCCGGATTATTACGCCTCACTTTCCGGTTATAGTTCACCGTTTTTTCCTATTTTCCTGACGGGTGTTGAGCCACTTAACGACTGTCAAAAATCTATATCCAGAAAAAGAAAATAACGGAGAAAAAAAAAAGAAATTGAGTCTTACATAGTGTGCAAAGAGGTAAGGACGTGCTAGCTCTCTGTCCCTTCTTTTTTCTTTTTTTTTTGTTTTTTTTTTTTTTTTTTTTTTTTTTTTTTTTTTTTTTTTTTTTTTTTTTTTTTTTTTTTTTTTTTTTTTTTACTACACCTCCACTCTCCTTAATTTTTCCGCTCTACGCTTGCCCACTGGGTCCAGTGATCGCCCACCATGCTGCAATAATCAACCCATGATGGAGACCATCGAAGCTATGGAAAACTGTCCGTCACGATCTGGGCAGTCTATCCGGATTAGCGCGTCCTAATTTATGACTCCTCCAATAATGATCCTAGGCTGACTTCATTATAAGCTCCTGTAGTCCTCTGACTGCAATGCGTGGAGTTTCAATAATGACTGCCGATTGAACAGGAAACCGCATCTGACATACAGCAGAACGGCCTCTTTGTACCGGAATATGTTGCCCATGTCAATATCGACTACAACCCTCTTCCCGTTCTTGTAAACCGCGTCCCCCATCATTCGAGGGACTGTTTTGCCAGATGCAATCACTAGTCCTCCCCCCTTCTTCCTTTATCACCCCAGAATTCGGACATTCAAGACTTGATCCGGGTCCAGGGAGGCTTTCATTTGATCTAACTCGATCAACCAATGCTCGAAGGTGCAATCCCCGGGATCTCCCACTCCCTCGCTCTATGTCCACTTCGGTCCCGGCAGAAGACCCGCTGGAGACTTCTGGAAACGTCAGACGGCCCGGACAGTCAGAGCTCCCTCAACCGGTAACAGCGGTGGAGTCTTCGACTGTATTGGTGCCTACTGGAATATCCGCTGGAGTGACGGGGCAGGCCCGCCCTCCAAGAACACCTACAACAACGATCCACGAGCCAACATACTACCGAGTGATCTCTGGTCCCGGGAATGATGTAGCGCGACACCCGTTTCCAGTCAACGACAGTTCTTCTTCGCGCTTACCAACGTCACTCAGCGTCCCGGTAACATCACAGCCTTCTGTGCCGACCTTTTCGCAATCCACCTTTGGAACATCGCCACCTGGGGCTGCTGGCCGGTCACTACCACAGAAACCGACAAGACGTACGAAGGCTCATGTGGCATCTGCGTGTGTGAACTGTAAGAAGAAGCATCTGGGCTGTGACCCTGCCCGACCTTGTCGGAGGTGTGTCTTGTCAGGGAAAGAAGTAAGTTTTGCCATCTACTTTCGTGAAGTCTTGGGGCCCTGTTCCTTTGTATTGCAATCCGCGGGGGCCAAGGCAGTGATAGAGGAGAGAAGGCCCTGTTACTAAGCGTTCAATAGGCAACATGCGTCGATGTTACGCACAAAAAGCGGGGAAGGCCGCCCTTGAAAGCCGAAGACGCGTCCCTCAGAACGTATGCATCACAGACAGATAATTCAGGAACATCCGGAGAGCAGCATGCGGCTCAGCCACGACGCCCCATGCATAGGGCTACATCGTCCCGTGAGCTCAGACCCATGACAGACTTACAGGCACCCAGCGGACCCCCGGGGCATTACGGGATAAGGGTCTCTCCAGGGCAGCCAACAAGATGGCCAGGTGCTGTGTACTCACAGGCTATTGATCCATCGCTGTCGATGCAGCGTAACATAGGTCATCGGCGATTCTCCTCCTCAAGCTCAGTCCAATCCATGGCAACAGTGTCCCCTGGCAGTTTTGTGGCAATTGGGGGATACAGTCCGGTTATGGCTGCGTCCCATATGCCTATGGGGGTTGGGAGACCGCTGTCGTCATATGGAAACCAAGTGGTACACCCTAGCCCTTCCCCACCGCAATATTATCAGTCGTACGGTGTTTCCTATTCGCCATATGCACCCAATGCTAGGGTGGTCAATCGGATGCCCATAGGCGAGCAATCGGTGCCAAGGGATCCCCGGGAAAATCTGGTAGAGTCCTCAGTTAGGCTTCCCCCTATCTACCCTCCCACAATGGGAAACCCCCAGCCTGGCCCACAAACACATCGGCTGAGCGATCCATACCCAGCGAATTGGTCACCTCGCACTCGAGAGGAATTGATGCAGCAGGAGCCACGGCAAGTGCCATCACACGGCCAGAGCACCATTGAACCTATCTCGCCGAGTAGCCAGATGCGTCAAGCAGCATCGGACTTCAGTTTTGGGAACCAGATTCCCCGACATCTGGCACCAGTTCCCCCGATGCAAGAGCAGCCGCCACAGGAGTCTCCTGTACATGCTCGAGATGACCAGCAAGGTGCTGGAGCCGAGACTGATGATTCAAGGCCCGCCAAGAGACGGAAGATGGCCTTGGACGATATGGTCAACGATTGAGTACTTACCTCAATCCATGAAAACAAAAAGGGGAAAAAAAAAAAAAAAGGCAAAGAAAAGAAAAAGAAAAAAAGAAAAGTCCATGACCGGAGCTAGCATATCCATTCTTTTCTTCTTTCAAGGGCCGGATGACGCATTCTGGTTCTTGATACCTGTAGCCGGACCTACAACAGTTGATGACTTTCATGTACATTTCCTTTGTGATACGTTTTTGCTTACCTTATGCTTACATCCGATATCTAGCGGTCTGTCGTTTTCCATATCCACTTTTCTCGCCTCATTTCCTTTGTTGTGCATTTGATACAGATCCGATCTTTGTCATTGTTGTGTTATGTGGTCCATTTAAGCACTATTTCCTTTGTTTGACCTTGTGAATTGCATAAGCCTTGGATGTTTGGGTGAACTGGGCTTGTTTCATACAATGCATGGCGCGGGGCGCGTATCCTTGGAAGATACATTAATGGTCTTGAGCATTGGATTCAGCGTCATAGACGGCGTTTTGTTTTGGAGTCGGGGGCATCACCAAGGTTTCTGCTTCATTCGTTGCATATTAAAAAGGGGCATTGTATCTTCTTTAGTCTTTCTTTCCTGTCTGGTTTTATTTTGAAGGGCCTTTTCATATGCTGGCTCTGTGTCATATAGATAGCTCATACAAATTGTGGATATGTGTGTACCATGGGAGTCGCAAGAGGGTGCAAACTACAAGATATATAATTCATTCAACTTCTCAAATATTTCTAGTCGTTTTCAAGGAGCTCAGTCGGGTATGCTTTTTCATCTTCAATCAAAATATGGAGTCACCGAGGAAATAGTCGTTACTTGCTTTTAACAACATAATATAACCAATACGCAACCCTTGATATAGATCTCCTGGACCAATTGTAACAGGAATGTTGATTTCCATGTAAAGGTTCAAGTTGCGACAGCGGACTTCCAGATACAGTTAGGGCTATTCAACGTTGCACTGGCCGAGGCATAACGTGAAACCACGCGACGATCTACAGTCTCCACGACCATCGCTTGCACATCCGATGTTACATACTGTTAGTGGGGCATCTTGGTAAATAAGAATAGAGAAGAAAAGAAAAGCTCCCCACCATGCCCGCCTACTAAAATAATGAGGCTCCTGCAACGAACCCCCAGTAAGACAAGCAGAACAAGTGGAGCCACCAAGGCCACAAGGCCCATGTCTCTGTTCCATTATATATAGTAATAAAAACACCATGTCCCAAGTATTTCGGAGTCGCCTAATATCCCAAGTCTAGCCCCAACTCCCTACTCAACAACCAATATGCCCCTCCACAGGGAATTCATACGATAGCCAAAATCCCCCCCGTAGGTATACAGCGTCCTCAGCCACAACCCCAACTCAACACCCTCACTCCTTACACCCATTCCAGGCTCCTAGACTACATAGAAATACAACCCCCCACACACTCAAGCCTAACATCCCAATTATTTCTAAATCTACAAATCCACTTCCACATCTCCCAAGCCTCATGGCTGTCGCCATCTTTCTTAACCGATCCATTGACAAACTGGAATATCCCAAAATGGTACGGGAAACTTTCGGGTAAATATTCTTATCAGAAACTCTCTCTGGGGATGGCAGATGCTTAGAACCGGAGGTGATGGTGAAGAGCTATGCGGATGCGTTCTGAGGGAAGGAGTTCGACGGCGACTTTGTTCAGGTCGAGGTCATGTATGGGAATTTCTAGAGTAAATAGGATGGGTTGATATGCGTCAGGAATGGGATTGTAGGAGAACGGAAATGGTCCTAGAATAGACGAGTTGGGATTTGGAGGGTTCTCCGGGAGGAAAGTATCTTTCTTATCTGTAGTTTGTGGCTGGCTGATAGCCTTGATGAGCATGCTGGAAGGGAGACCAGGAAAACACGCCGCAGGTTCAAACTATTTCAGAACCCTGGTTAAGCCTGGAGTTCTGGATCCTTGGAGTAAGGGAAACATGTATATCGACAAGGATGTGCTATACACTGGTAGGTATGATTGGGTCATACCACGGGCGTCACCCGACAGACAAAGACTTCGAATCCTGGTATAAGAAATGGGCTGAACCGGGCTTCAGCAAGCATTGCCTGCCGGCTAAGGCTGGCACACTGGCCATAACTGACAGAAGATCGTGTCATAGCCTGTTTCTGTGTTCTCGGGGATAAAGCATCAAGTATATGCCGACACAGATAAACTATCGACATCGGGTTCCTTATTAAAATCATACATAATCCCTTAGCAGCTGAAAACCGACTTCTATATGGTTAGTTCAGTATCCTTTCCCGGTCTGTTTCTGGTGGAGGTGAGTAATGCACGTTAATCTTTCTGATAATCCTTCCACCCCATTTCCCATGCCGTGGAAAAGTAACCGTGGCGCAGCTTTGAAAGGTTGTATACAAGAACCACAAATTTGGCGTATACCGTAGGTCATCGTCGAGTAACAACGGTGGAAGTACGGTGCGAAGCCCGGCGCGCCAGCAACTATGGCAAACAGACGATGCTATCTAGCGGCCGTACTTCCTTTTGTCCTTGGAGGTTGTTTAATTACGATTACGACAAAGAAGCTATTTGAATATCCCCCTGGCACTTTCAACTGTTCTCACCCTCTGGTTATACCTTGTTTTTTTATCCTTACATGAAGAAGTTAGATTGAAAAGCAGCAGCTTCAGATTACCGGTCAAATTACTAGGCTGTAAGTTTAACCGCTTCTCGATTCCCCTCATATATAGAAGATTACAAGAAGACTGAGTAGGAAAAGGCATGGCCACGTTGTAGGTTCAACAAGCTCCGTCCAACACCGAACGACACGTTATCACAACTTTGTAAGAAAAAAAGTTCACATCTCAAACTATACTTCACCATTAAGACAACAATCTTCAAAAACATGCCCGTTATGCCTGCACCACGGCCATTCATCCTATTCTTCAATCCAGTCAGACATGCAATACCGTTCTATCAACAGCTACAAGATGTAGCGCGAACTGAGGTCATCACAAGCAAGAGCAGAGACGAATTCTACTTCGATCTCCAAAGAAAATACAAGGATATCTCAATCATCTACAGAACATCAGCCAGCGGCGCAGTAAGTACACCGTCTAACGTCCACACAATCCGCCTTCTTTCACACACTAAGGACCCAACAGGTAGCTGGCAATTTCGACGCAGACTTGATCCAGCATCTACCTCCTAGCTGTAAGCATATCTGCCACAACGGTGCCGGCTATGACCAGATCGACGTGACCGCATGTGCAAAACGCGGAATCACCGTGACCTACGCACCGGACCCCGTTACCGAAGCGACAGCAGACCTTTCCATCTGGCTGGTGCTGGGCGCTCTGCGACAACTGAATCCATCTCTCAACTCCCTGGCGGGCTGGGAAGTTCAAAACAGGGCTTGACTTCGGCCACGACCCCCAAGGCAAAAGTCCTGGGTATCCTCGGCATGGGCCGTATCGGACGCGCTATCCAGAAGCGGGCCGAGCCGTTTGGTCTGATCACCAAGTACCATAACCGCAAGCCTCCCTCCTCTGATCAGGCTGCCGGGGCTGAGTATGTCTCTTTTGAAAAGTTGCTGGCTGAGAGTGACATTATTAGCATTAATGTTCCTCTTAACGCGCAGACCAAAGGGCTCCTTGGGGAGAAAGAAATCTCTCAGATGAAGAACGGGGTTGTCATTGTGAATACCGCTCGTGGCGCAATTATAGATGAGGCTGCGATGGCAAAGGCGCTGGATTCGGGAAAGATTGTTCTGTGGGCCTAGATGTATATGAGAATGAACCGCGCGTGAATGGGCGGTTGCTGCAGAATGAGCGCGCCTTGATGGTGCCCCATCTTGGAACTCATACCGTTGAGACGCTGGCGAAAATGGAAACGTGGGCAATGGAGAATGCGAGAAGAGCGGCGCTAGGGAAAAGATTGTTCTCGCCTATTCCAGAGCATATTGCTTTGCAGTGATTCGTGATTATATTTGTGTCAATTGATTGAGTCCTAGATCCAATATTTGAGATCTTTATTAGTGACACTGTCCACCAGTATCTTATTAGCGCAGTAGGTTAAAAGTACTATTATCGCTGATATCTTTCCAGGGTTATAGATAAAGTGAGTAGAATTCGTTGCGTATACATCGTTATTCGTAACACAATTATCTGTTACGGTTTGTATGTACAGAAATCATTAAAGAAACATATTATAAGAACAACCACATGCCCACCTGCTTAATCCTCCCCAGGACGCTCTTGTCCTCTGGGTCCCACGAAAAGAATTTCTTTTTGCGCGACCCATCTGGTGCATTATCATCGTGGATATTTGGTGAACCTTCATTTGGATCATTCACGTCGACTCCGGTGCTGTGAATAAGGTTGTATCGATCTGTGATCAGGTCCATCTCGCCGCGATGAACAAACCGTGTCCGTTTGAACAACTTCCAGGCGAGGAACATCACAATCATGACAGGAATTTCAATGTAGTAGGAAACAAAGTCGACTCCCTTGAAGTGTGGACTGAAGCATTTCCAGCCTTGTACGAGGATGAGAACACTGTTGAGGCCGATGGCGATGATAGGTCCAACTGGGTATGTCCAGTTCTTGTAAGGGAGGAGATGTTCAAGGCCTTGGTGGCGAATAGCAGCTCTGAAACGGAGAGATGCTACTCCAATGCAGACCCATGAGATTTGGTTAGAAACTCCAACAATGCTGCGTGGGGGTTAGCTTAGACTTCACAGAAACATAATCATCGATGGTTGGGACTGCTGATAATGGACTCACTTTTGTAACCACGACCATAACTGGCCAGCTCCGATGTAACTGGCACCAAAGCATAAACCACTGATCACAGACGTCGCCAGGACAGCAACCCAGGGGATCTGAAAACGATTCAGATGGCCAAAAAACCGGGGCGCATATCCATCAACAGCCAAGGTATAAAGTAGTCTGGATCCAGCAAACAAAGCATGATTCGCTGCGGAAATAACGCTAGTCATAAGCACCGCATTAATGAAACTGCCTGCAACGGCGCTGCCGGCCTGTTGGAAGACGAGGGTGAAGGGGCTGGTAGCCGTGTCTCCGTTGGACAGGCCAGGGTAGTTGTATGGTACATTGAGACCAATGATGATGATAGACACAATGTAGAATAATATGATACGCCAGAAGACGTTGCGGACCACCTTGGGCATGTTCTTCGCTGGGTCCTTGGTTTCACCAGCTGTAACTGCAATAGACTCGGTGCCACCACTGATCTTGTCAGCATATTCTTTCTCAGGGATAATAAATATAACCTACAAAGCAAATGAAGCCGTAACGAAGACGGATGCGAAACCACCAATACCGCCAACAAAGGGTGCATCATCGACGTGGAAATATTTGCCTCCGATATATGTGTGTTCAGTGTTGCCGCCACAGTTGACTACAATGCCCAGAATAATGAAGATCTGGACATGGTTAGCATCGTGTTTGTAGAATCAGAGGGAAGAGATATATAGAAACATACTATGATAGTCACAACCTTTAGTAGACTGAGCCAGTACTCGATCTGCAATGTATCCAAGATCAGCAACTGCAGGTAGAGAGTAATGGACTCCAGAATGCATGTAACCTACCTCTCCATAAACCTTGACGGAAAACATATTCAAGCCGATGACAACAACCAGGAATATCAAACTAATTGCCCATCCAGGGAAATTATCCGTCCAGTACTGTAGCAGTAGTTGCAGAGCAATAACATCAGACGCAGTGGAAACCGCATCATTGAACCAGTAATTCCAAGTAAGGGCGAACCCTAACGCGTCGTCGACAAAGCGACTGAAAGTAGTCAGCACTCGTGGAACATCTATCACATAATGTGGAATGACCCACCCAGCAAAAGTACAAAAGGATCCCGCCACAGGGATGAAAGAAGCCATTTCACCCAAAGAGAGCATGGTCACAAAGACAATACCACCGCAAATGGCGTAGGCGATAAGCATAGATGCTGGACCACCAGTGGCCAGAGCTTTACCCGTTCCTAAAAATAAACCAGTTCCGATAGTACCACCGATAGCAATCATCTGAACTTGACGTGCAGAAAGATTACGGGCGAGTTTATCCGCATTGACATATGGAATGTTGCCGTCGACGGGATTTGTTACCAATCCCGGGGCCTTCTGACCCGCATCTTCTTGAGGAGCCCTACCGGGCCCCTTCTCGATATCATGGACCGCCATTATGCGCAAATGATCTGGCGATGGTCCCAACGTGGATCACTAACAGAGCACTTGAGATACCAAGTCCCTCAGCTGACCACAACCAGGGTCAGGGGATCCTGATGGAGAAGGTAAATAAACCGTCAAAGCCAGACAATGGCACTAACATGGATACCACGTTAGCATGATAAACTAGCAGAGCACCTGCATAACAACTAATATCGACCTACCTGAACGCCGACTTATCAGCTCCTCAGTGATAGCCCTATAAAATTTCCCAATTAGGAAAGCGACCCGCCGGATTCCACGTGATGGTGAAGAAACGCGCAAAACTGCGAAGAGCAGGTGTCAAATCAGATATTAACTCTGCGGGGGTGGAGGAGACCAAAAGCTTCTTAAACCCAGAAGACTCGATTGTGCCATCTCAGGGGAGTCAAGGCGAATGCAGGTCTTGCAACCTCGCAAAAACTTAGCGGATGACGTGCTCAAAAAAAATTACGTACAACTTTGAACCTGGCGGATTTGTTGAAGTTACATCGCGGGGAGGAGGCTGGCGTAACTGCCGACCACGCTTTCCTTCTGTGGCTAGTGGATCTCCACTCTTGACATCTGCAGTTCGAGATTGAGTTTTGGCTATAAATCTTGTATTTGTTATCGACTCTTAGCCTATCGACTATATACACACGTAGAAACTTCTTATCATGGACAAGCTTTTGATACTCCGCTAGTAGAACAAATAAAAAACACTGAAAAGGATATATCCATTGGCAATAAAACAGCCTCCCAGGTTACACATCTCCTTAGCCAAGCAATCCAGTGGCCAAAGATTCCAAATCCTCCAAAGTCTGGATTTGCTCGGGGGCCTTTGCGGTCGGTTTCTTGCTCTTCTTGTACCAGGGTTCTTCTGTGCTCTCGTCGGGCTCTGCAATGCGGACCTTCTGCTTCTTGCTGGGGCGAGGTGTGTCGTCCTCCCGGTCCGATGCAGAAAACTCGTCGTCCTCCTTGTATGGAGCCAGCTGCGCCACCACTTCCTCGGCCTCCTCCTCGGCAAGCAACTCGCGCTCCCGAGCCTTGCGTTTCTCTTTCTTCTCCCGCTTTTTCTGTTTGGCCACCTCCTTGTCCTCCACATCGGCCGTGCGCGTCCGTTCGGTTTCCTCTGCCAAGAACCGGGCTTGCTGTTCCTTGGCATCTCCACGGGCCTTGAAGTCTTCCTCGTCCTCCATCTCGTACAATTCGTGCGCGTTGCCCTCGTCGTCGTACACAAGTTTCGTCCCCTTTCCTTTGAACTTGAGCAGTTTCTTCTTCGACTTGAGTAGCTTCTCCCGACGTTTCGAATCGATGACCAATGTATCCTTGCCATCGAGTTGTACCACTTTAACATCCTTTTGTTCCGACTCCTCTTCAGAGGTACCACCCAGCTCCTCATCTCCAGCGTCGAAGCGACGTTTAACAGACAGGAAGTCATCATCCTCGTCCGCATCATCGGCAGCACTTGTGGTCTTACTGGGATCAACCAATGTGCCGTCATCGTTGATAAGTTTCGAATAGTGGTCGGCCAAGACGTCTTGGTTTCGCCTCTCGAACATACGGTCATACTTGGTCCGGACTTGTTTTTCATCCTTCTTGGTCTTCTTCTCGCCGTCCTCATCAGAATCATCACTTGACATGTAGGCCGTAGCCCGTGATGCATTTTTGCGCTCCTTAGTGTCGTCTCCCTTGATGAACTTGATACGGGGAGCACCTGGAAGACCAAGACTGGAAGCAAACTCATCCAACTTGAGCTCCTTAAGTTTGAAAACCTCCTTATCCTTCTGGACATAAACTGATTTAACGTAGGAAATAAATGCCTTTTGTCCGAGGTACTTAAGTTCCGGGTCTTTGAAGCACATATTTTGCAACTGGTCCTTGACACTTTGCTGCTTGTTGGCCTTGATATTGATGCGTTCGACAGGAACCTTCTTTTGCTCGAGACGCTTCAACATTCCTGATTCCTCACTAGGATCCAAAAACAACACCGCACGACCATCACGCTCATATCGGGCTGTCCGCCCAACTCGATGAATGTAAGTGTCGGCATCTTCAGGGCAGTCCATTTGAATGACCCAGTCAACGGCAGGGAAATCTAAGCCACGAGCAGTAATATCGGTGGAAAATAGGACTGCATACTTTGCTTGTGAGAATTTTGCTGTGATATCCAGCCGTCCGCCCTGCTTCTGCCGGCCGTGAAGATGCATCAACGGGATACCAGGTTGTAGATGGCGGAAGGATTCGTAAACGAATCGTACCTGTTTTCCGGAAGACAGGAATACAATCGTTTTGGCCTTCAAGTTACTCCGGATAAAACTCCACAGGGTATCAAGCTTCTGCGATAATGGCGTAACGACGTAGTGTTGCTGAAGTGTAGATGGAGTTGCGGAAGATGCTGCCTCGTGAACAGCTACGTACTCGGGATCCTGTAAGCTCAACCGGGCAAGATCTGACACCTTCTTCGTTTGAGTAGCGCTGAATAATAATGTCTGACGCTCCTTGGGTAGATGGCCAACAATGGCGTCCACAGTTTTCTGGAAACCCATGTCCAAGATACGATCCGCTTCGTCCAAGACCAGCATTTGAAGGTTGAACACATCGAACAGAGCCGTTTGGTCCAAATGCTGCAGCATACGACCCGGTGTACAAACCAGGATATTCATTCTTCCCAGTCTTTCCTGCTCCTCCTTCAAGCTCTTCCCTCCAATAATCAAGCCGGCAGAGAATGTATGATAGCGACCAATTTTTCGAAGAACCTCAAAGATCTGAATGGCGAGTTCACGAGTTGGGGATAAAATTAGAGCGCCCAATCCGTCATGCTCAGACCATTGCTTGCGGTACAAGTTCTCGAGAACCGGGATGAGAAAAGCCAGTGTCTTGCCGCTACCGGTCTTTGCGGCACCCAAAATATCCCGACCCTTCAACGCATGGCCAATAGCACGAGACTGAATATCAGTGAGGGTTTTAAAATGCGACGAAGCTAGCCCAGAGGCAGTCGGTTCAGACAGAGGGAGATCGGAAAAGGATTTGTATGTTTCCTTGATATCGAGATCCTCAACCCGCTGGGTAAGAGTCGACAAATCATCCTGCGCACGCTTGCGCTTCAGGGGATGACGCTGGGAGGGTTTCGTATTCTTGCCGTTACGGGGACCGTTTGAAGGAGCCATGGTAAGCTCGCCTGCTAGGTCGTTGAAACGTTTGTGGATTTCGTAACAGTCTTCTTGATTTTTCTGAGCGCTTTTCGGAATGCGAAAGAAATCGCGGGCGGTGTGATGATTACTTTTTTCTGCCGGTCAGTATTCTGCTGAGTCAGCTTGCGATAAGATGAAGGGCTTATCGATGGCTATGGAGACATGCGACCATTTCTATTCTCCATGCGGAGCTTTTATTAGTAGCATACAAATCCATTATTACTTTTCCCTACCCATTTTCAACACCGGGATTGGGGCCGTTCCATTTACGCGTCAACAAGGATGTCTTCCGATGAGCAAGATGCCTTGGATGCCCTGGAAAGGGAAGCGTCCGACTTTGTCAAGGTAACCAAAGCTCCAAACAATGTGCTCAGAATTCACCCAGCTGACTCTAAGGCAGGACGCCGAGATTGATCGCATTAAGAAGGCATTTGCACTAGACGCGTAAGCTTAGCGCTGTTTGGCTGTCTGTACTATGTTTAAGACTAATAGTGATGGTTCTTAATAGATACGCCGTCCTCGATCTCCAGCCAGGAGTTACTGAATCCGATATCAAAGTACAATATCGCAAAAAGTCTCTACTTATCCATCCTGATAAGACAAAGAATCCAGCTGCGCCAGATGCGTTTGATCGTCTTAAAAAAGCCCACTCTACACTAATGGAGGAGAAGTCGCGCACGTACCTCGATGAATGTATCGCAGATGCGCGACGGCTGTTGATTCGTGAACACAAGTACACATTGGATTCGCCTGAATTAAAGACAGAAGAGTTCAAGAAGGAATGGCGTCAGAAGACAGTGCATGTGTTGCTAGAAGAGGAGGCACGCCGGCGAAGACAAGCCAAGGCTAAGTTACAAGAGGAAGGCCGTGAGAGGCGGAAAGAAGAGGAGGAAATTGAAGAACGAAAGCGAAAGCGAGACCAGGACAAGGCATGGGAGGACAGTCGTGACGAGCGTATCAGCAGCTGGCGAGATTGGCAGAAAGGAAAGAAGAGTGAAGGAGACAAGAAGAAGAAGAAGAAATTGAAAGTCCTGGGCTGATTTGCAAGATTCGATCACTTTTCATAGACCCCTCCATCACAGTGACACAGGTCGAAGGCATCATAGCATTTGAAATCTTTATTGTTGTGTCTTAATGGAAAGCATTGTCACCAGGCTTGTAAGATTTCTACAAGCAACTTGCGCCTCTGCATTTAGACTTAGACCGAGTTGGATTCGACTGTGACACCGATGACTTGGCATCGTCCCCCGCCTGAATGGACACATTGGCTTCTTCTTCTGCACATTTGGATTGATGCATCTATTTCAGTGCGCGATGGTGAAGGTTTCTATATGAAAGGGGCAACCAGGAGGCCTAAAATTCACCTAACTTGTCAAAATGGCGAACATCGCGCAGCTTCCACCGGAATTATTTTGCCCAGTGCTTGACCTTGCCTTCGAGAATCAAAGTGACATTCAATTGTTCTGCAGTCTCTCTCTTCTTAGTCGCCAGTGGTACGAGGCCCTAGTTCCTCGTATATATGCTGAATGGGCATATAATGGTGCGAGGCAGTCATTCAGGTCTCTTTGGAATTTCCTCAGAACTATCCTCAACGATTCCCGTCTAGCAGTCTTGGTTCACTCCTTACATATAGGTAACTGGGGTTACTATCCACATGCACGCTCAGGTGAGTGGGAAGAACTAAATCTTCCACGGGAGGAGATCACCCTTATCCGCGAAGCTATCAATAGGGTTGGAATCAAACACCTAGAATCAAATATCATCAAAGATATACGAAAGCGTGACCGTCGACCGCTGATGGCGCTTCTTCTGACATGTCTCCCCAACCTCACGAGAATATACGCGCACATGCCGCAGTCCGACCCCGTTCTCAGCGCAGCTCTCATGCAAATATTAGATTGCCAGGGTGGCAACAATCCATCAACACTTCGTAGCAAGCTGAGCGAACTCTATATATTTGGCGAAGTGGACATTCCTACCCGTGACCTCGTGAATTATGACCTCCTTCCAAGAGCCGATCAAACCCTATTGCGCCTAGATGACCTGTGGCCCGCATTTCATTTGACAGGTCTTCAGAATCTCTCACTTTATGGCCTAAATATAGCAAATGCAGCGCGTCGACTTGGAGCCAGTCCTTCTATGTCTCGGCTGAAACACTTATCCATAACCGGCGGCTTCAATTCCAGCTTCACGTATTCGGATCTCCGGGCTCTGCTCACTTTACCGGAAGCATTAACCAGTTTCTCATTATAAGTACAAGATTATGCGTTTGGTTCAATTGGAGCTGATATGATATCAAATGCGGGCCTCTGGAATATCCTAGAAAAGCACCAGAACAGCCTTGAATACCTCGGCATTTATCGTGATGCAGAGCACACGAGGCTTTTCATGAGTCAACGCTATTTTGGTCTGCTCCGTCCATTTTTATGCCTGAAAAAGCTTTGTATTCAAGCAGAAGTCTTACTTGGTAGCTTCTGGGACCAGCCGAATGCCCCTTACCGCTTGAAAGACCGTTTGCCATGTAATCTCCAGTCTCTCACCCTCTATGGCGGTAAAAAATTCTTCCACATTAGCAGTATACGCGTGCACCTGCAAGAAGCACTGGACAGCGGGGGTATTCTCGTCCCTAACTTCGGTTGAACTAGAGGGTTTCTATGTAGATTCTGACATCTCGGAAGTGTGCCGTCAAAACGGTGTTAACCTCTCAGTGGGACGAGGCTGTCGACATGTAGCCCTTCCAAGAGATTGTCAACTTCGGAAGGAAGGAAGCTGGCCGCAGCTCTTGCAAACGATATACCACATGCGAATGGATGGCCAAAGACGAGCGGTAATATTTGCTTTCTTCCCCGAGGAATGTCGAGATCGTCGTGAGATCCTGCTACCCCTAGACGACAGCATGGACAGCTACAAGGAAGTCGCTGCAAAAGAAGAAGGCCTGGATCAATGTGCCGGTGACTTGAAACTTCGTATGTTGGACTTCTGGGTGCACAATGGAGGCACAGCGTATATGGTCTTTCAAAACTTTGGACATTCCTCGCTGCCACCGCTTTTTTCCTTTGCCATCTATTTTATGCATGCCCACGTGTCGCGCGAAAAGGTAGACCATCGGGCTTTATACCATGCTCTTTGTGATTCGTACAACAACTACGATGTCCGATTCGATCTCTACTTCGTCCCCGGTCTAGGTGAAGAAGGTTGTATAGCTCATTACCGCCAGGAGCTACGCTTTCGTGGGGATTATAAGAAGCAACTCAAGGCATATAAGGAGAGTAGTCGTTACGACGTTTTGCCAGGGGTTGGAGCTCTACCCACTATGGTACATGACTATTCTGATACTTCTTTTTACCGAGGGTTGCTGTTTATATGTAATGAACCAGAATGGAATGGCGATCAGAAAACCTTGTGGTCTGTGCAATTTGACCCTGTCCGACAGGCAGAAGATGGTACAGGGTCATCGGATGAAGGAAATGCCCGCCTTCGTTATATCCAGAGACATCCAATTAATGACAGCAGCCGCTGGTATGAGGGTTATGATGGCGAATGCCCGGTTGACCGATGGATATCCGATATAGCATGCTGGCATAGGGAAGAGTTGAGGGGACCCTGGCTGAAAGCAACACGAAGAAGCTGGCAGAGCTGGCGGTAGTGAGTCGGTATTTCCTTACATCAATGAATGTAAGAGGCAGTTTCATTTGGTCATTAACTCAGAATGGTTTATATGTCATGATTCACTCTGCGCAGATCAGACAGTATGTATGGCATCTTCAGCCCTCAACTTCTCATATACTGCCTTTCCTGTTGTATCTACCAGCATATGTTTTCCAAGCATCTATTACAGTTTTCCAAATCACTTCACCATGCTATAGGATAAACCAGAAAATATGTAATACACGATATAATATAACAACTAACAGATCAAGAACGATGCTCACTCCAACCAAAATCATGCCTGACTGTTATAGACATATGAGCAGATTCATTCATATGTTTAACGCTATCCGTATCCCTCTTATACGAGTTGGGCTCACTGTGAGCCGAAACGCTCGTCAGTATTATCTCGTCCTCCCGACACAATTGGGCATTCCGACTGCCCTCATGCGCGTCTAGCTGTTGGAACGAACGTCTTTTACTCTGCAATATATCTCGGCATTTCCTTCTAGAAGCTGATAGCGAAAAACTGCCCAATAGTCCTTCGGCATTGGACCCGAGAACAAGCTTCGTGGTTCTTCGGACCAGCACGTTAAGTGTGGACAGACATGCGCAAACAATGCCGATGCAGGGCTCAATGGTAGACCATAAGTATACGTCGCCCATGACCCAGTTGGTGTCGTGGTTCGTCGCGAGTAAAGTCAAGTAATAAATACGAACCATACTTCCGATAGAGACACTATACATAACGATTAGCTCGTGTCATGGTAGCAAAGGTGTATGGGCCACTCTGAGAAGCCACCTAAGAGGAAGATACCACAGATCAGCATCTTATGCACCGGGCGAATTTGGAGTCTAGAGATAATCGGAATCGGAACAAGCAATGTGGCAACATCTGTGAAGACATTTATTGTCGCGTTGCCAAGGTAGAATGCATACAGATTAATGATGCACTTTCCTCCCGACGGATCAGCAAACTGCGTATAGAAGTATGACAGCGGCTTGCAAGAGCAGGAGAAGGCAATCATGCAGCAAGCACCATGACCGATACTGAGGGCCAGGCAGACCCACATCATCCAGTTCATTCCAAAGATTCGACGATAGAGGAGGATAATCGAAACTCTGATGGATGGAAGTAGAACTAGATAGATGAAGATATAAGCGAACAGAATCTTGCGCTGTCAGTCTCCAGCCCAAGTAGTGTGTCCAAAATGTCCCGATGTATGCTGTACCTTTCGCATCTTCACTACATCTTCAAGCGTTCCTCTCCACACATGCTTGCCGAGGCCGCAGTATCCCGCTGAAGGTCGACAAACAATCAGCTCCTCCAAACTTGACTTGTAAGAGATTTAGTTAAAGTCTTTACCCAGTATAGTTTCAGCGAGAAGTGTAGTTAACGGGACCTGTGCTGAATCTATAAGCAGAAGTTCTTTGTGCCGTGATTGAGATGTTAAGCATAAGGAGGCTACTTACAAGAGACGCTGCAATCAACCAGTCGTCAATCCCTAATTTAATCTTTTGGACTTTAATCCGCGTAACAAATCGAAGTATCACAGAGACAACGGCGATGGTATATAGGGCAATAACTGTTGCATTTATCTGGGGAGTCTGGTTGTCGCTTAGGTCGATACCAGGCTGTTGCGGCCCGAAGATATCTGTGACCGTTACCATGCTCGCAAAGTCCAGTCCATTCACGGAATATAGTGCTGAAGTTGACGCAATCAGGAAGAACTGACAAGTAGCAAACTAGCATGAGGGTGAACTCTAACATATCCATAGTGAAGAACACCAGAATTGGATGCGAGACGACGAGATAAGATTGAGCCTGATTGAAGACCAGATATGCACGGGTAACAAAGTACGACTAATGGATCATTCGCTATTTTTAATACCACATATATAGCTCATTTGGCCTCCAATAGCACATTTCTATAAAACCGCGTAGTAATATAGACTAATATACGGACCTATTTGGTGAAGTGGGCCTGCTGATGAAGACCCCCGGCATAAGAACCCATTTGACTGGGCCTGGTGTGTTTGTCACTATGTCTGCATATGCAGAGGGCATTTTTCAGCAATCTGATGATTCAGCCAAGACCAATACTAGTCCTGGATTGATTAGGTATGTGCTTTTGTCAAGAGCCTACGCCATTTACCTACATGTCGTCGGCTCAAGGGCCAACTGTCCAACGCACGCACATAGCGCACTTGCATACAATTTGTAAGTCAGCAGAGCAAGACGATCACAAATCAATGGCCTCAGACAGCGTTGAATTAGTGCTCAAACTGGTGGCCTGGTGGCTAAATTGGAAATGTCTGTGTATCAGGTACCATATAAGCTTAGTAACGTAGTAAGCACTTGGGGTGGCCCTTTAAGTTGGTCAGCGGCGTTGCCAAAGCACGGCTCGCCGGGCCGCTCCGTAACAGGAGGGCTAGGAAGGTCAGAGATTGGCGCGAACCCCTACCCTAAGGAGGAGCTAATATGCGTACTGCTGCACGGAGTTGCTACTAAATAGGATAGTCAATACTGATCTACTGTTAGCTCTTATTTGAGACTCTGTGGCGTATTCCAGCACAGCACTTTAAATGTGTCAGCATGACTTAAGTGCACGCTATAAAATTTCCTCGTAGCCAGAGATAGGGAAAAATGCTATATATCTGGTTTAAGCCTGATCCAGCCAAAGGGCAAGTACCATAGATAACATTTACCATTGTTAGTACCACTACTCGACAAATGGATTGAGGCATTCTAATTAGGGCTTGCATAGTAACGTTGGCAATTGTTCGCATGGTTCAATACATTTAATAAACTTTGTTCGCTCTTTGAATTCCCATTACCTCATTTCCAATGTCCAGAGGTATATCCAAGGCGATGCCCCTCCCCCTCTCTATGAAGTAAGGAGGAATGCGAACTAATCTATAACGCCCCTTCTCAAGCCAGCAAACGTTGGCCCAGGAATGCCTATTTTATACGATCAGTACAGCCCACGTAAATTACATTAGTCGCTCATGTATGTCGTCCTCAAGATTGTCCGGTGGAGAGCTATTCTCATTTTCTGCCGCTTTGTCTGGAATTTCTTCCGATCTCCATTGAAGTCGTTTCCTGGGCTATTTTGTGCCAGATTCACCGAAAGAGACGCATTCGAGTTTGATGCTACTGTTCTTGCTGCTGCTATGTCTGCTCAGATATTCTTATATATGCACGAGCTGGGGAGACTACTTGGATGTACTTGGATAGTACAAGCTATTGTCTTTCTACGTATTCTGACGGATCCTACCAGAAATTAGGGATGAGCTCGTCACGCTCCTGGAGCGTTTTGTTCATCTTATTGCTTCTCACGCAGCCATTGATCTTCAAGAGACGCCCAAGGCACGCTGATTCACTGAAAATCAGGATCATACTAAGTGCGACATAAGTTTCAAACAATACTTCACAAACTTTGCGAGGCTGCCCCGGATGTCGCACGAGCCATTGTAGGAACCATTCAAGGGAGAAACAAGCCGGTCAACGCGAACGCAGGCGTCCATGAGCCCTTTCTCATCAGCATCATTCTGAACCTGTCAGCCTTGCTTGCCGCGATTCTCTCAATCCCGCTTATGCACGTTACAGGACGGCGGACGCTCCTCCTAACCTGCGTCGCCGGGTTCGGGGTCGGCCCTTCATCTTCTCGTCTGTGGGGACAGCGCACCCGCAAATATACAACTTTCAGTTTACAATCTCACTCGTCGTCGCCTCGACAGTGATTTCCGAAACGGCCTGAAGTGACACCGTCATGTGGAGCGCTGTGCTGCCCTACCTAATTAATCCGAACGCCGCGAACCTCAAGGCGAAGATTGGGTTTGTGTATGGTGGGTTTGGGGTGCGTCTTTTGGGCCTTTGTCTTTTACCGTGTTCCGGAGTATCTGGGTCGGGCGTTGGAGGAGACTGATGAGATGATTTTGAAGGGGATGTCTGCGAGGGGTTCCAAGGGATTTGTTTGCACGGGGTCACTAGTCTTCCTGCGGAGGACCAGCGGCCTGGAGATATCGACTGTGCCTCACGTGCGCCTCAGGCTCCGCATCCACAGAGGCTAGAGGCATCACACTCGGTTGTCTTCAGCGCAGTACATACAGGGTCTAACAGCATCGCACAACCACACTTAGTTCTCCATGCTTCCTATTCCATGCAATACGAACCATTCGGTTGAGGTCGTTCCTAACAAGTGTGCGAATCTTCCGCTATGTCGACTCGACTGCTTGTCAGACTGTCATCACTCATCAAGCGCTTCCTCCTCAACAATTATCCTTCGAGTCCGCCTGGACATCTTGTCGGCCCAGCAGTAGCCTGACCACCGCTTCGTGTCCACCTTCAGTCGCACAGGATAATGGTGTCCGACCCCAGTTAGCCTTAGAGTCCACCTGAACATCTTGTTGGTCCAGCAGTAACCTGACCACTGCTTCATGTCCGCGCCACGCCGCATATAACAATGGTGTCCGACCCGAGTTATCCTTCGAGTCTGCCTCAACATCTTGTCGGTCTAGTAATAGCCTGACCACCGCTTCATGTCCACCTCCAGCCGCAAAGGACAATGGTGTCTGACCCCAGTTAGCCTTCGAGTCTGCCTCAACATCTTGTCGGTCCAGCAGTAACCTGACCACTGCTTCATGTCCGCGCCACGCCGCATATAACAATGGTGTCCGACCCAAGTTATCCTTCGAGTCTGCCTCAACATCTTGTCGGTCCAGCAGTAGCCTGACCACCGCTTCATGTCCACCTCCAGCTGCATAGGATAATGGTGTCAACCCGTCATTATCCTTTGAGTCTGCCTCAACATTTTGGTCCAGCAATAGCCTGACCACTGCTTCATTTCCACCTCCAGCTGCATAAGATAACGGCGTCCGACCACAATTATCCTTCGGGTCTGGCCTGATACTGTAGTTTCCGAGCAGTAGCTTCATCAATTCGCCGTCCGTCGCGAGTAGATGTAGGATCGTCCTCCCTCCTTCATCCTGAAGCGTGGTATGCTGAAAACTTAGGACGCATGCGAGCCCAGGAGCCGCATATAACAGAGACAGCAGGTCAACAGGTGCAAGATATTCGGCGGCAAGCAGGATAAGCTCGATAGGGAGCTGGGCTCCTATCCTAGACGCCCTCATGATGTCGCTTTCACGGAGATACGGAAACAATAAATATAATTCACACACCCAACTAGTCCTTCGCTGCGACCAAATTGACTATCTGGATTCCGGTGACGTAGGATGCTTCTGGATTATGGTTGGAGATGAAATTTGAGTTCTCGCAATGCCAATTACACGGGCTGCACATGTCTCACTCTGGTGGCTTGTTCCCCGCGCAGGAACCCAAGCCCTTCTGCCTAAGGCATCAAGAGCCCGTATGTAGTACATTAGTAATTAAGAAGCCACGTCACCCGGGGTTCACATTGCTCGCGACAAATTTGGCGGTTTTCGCGTTGTACTTAACAAAATATGCTGAAAACCGACGCTCCGTTCCGCGTTGAGTTCCTGGGAAATTGCCGCGACATCAGCAGGCGGTCAAGGATCGCCACATTAGTCAGGGAGCTACCGCACATAGCATTAAAGACGGAACATTAGGGTTCTTTCTTTCTTAGTTAATCCATTGCGTACCCCGATTTATCGATCCAAAGGACATGCAGACGTGCTTCAAGGCCATTTGAAAACATCGGCTGAATACATCGTTCAGCGTGGTCTGTGCCGCTCAGCGGAAACTTTTGACGGGGCCAAGGACTTAATAACTAACCTAGGTCAGTGGAGAATTCACGGCATTTTCGTACTATTATTTTAGAACCCCTTTCCCTTTATTTCCAAAAATTATTCTTCTTCAAACCCTGCTTTGATGAATAATTGAATATTCTTTTCATAACATCCGAAGTCCAGTCACTTTTCTTCTTCTTCTTGTTGTCATCATCATGTTGGTCAAATCAAGGAAGTATTATATTCTGATATCTCCGATAAACAAAGCAATTTTGCTTTAACTGTTTGAATATCGCTTAAACTGTATGAATCCGGTATTTGAAAACGTCAGGTGAGTCTATTTCCAGTGTCACTGGCTTGTACTGTTGAGTAGAAGCTCAGCCGCCAGTGGCATTGCAAAGAGCTTGGAAAGTTCAAATAGAGTCCTGGATTGTCCCCCCGAAGAAGATATAGATAGCTGGATTAACCCCCAGATATATGTGCTTAAACAAAGACGTTTTAGAAGGGCTACCAGTTAGCTATTACTATCCTCAACCAGCTCTTCAAGCTGGTGTCGATATAGTCTTCTCTGCTCTCTCAAGAAATTCTTCATCACCAGCGGCCTTGGGCGTGTGGCTGCTGTTCTTAGGCCTAACTATACTAAGGTACTACAAGAGGGATTTGAGATTGTCTAGCCACATTGTACCCCGATAGTATTGCATTGCCATCCACACTCTTCGACCAATGTACCATGAGATAAATGAAGCAAATATACCTCGGGCAAACGAATATATACCTACTCTGTTGTCGGTCACCATGTATTGATTGATATAAGCATGCATGGAGGCGCATGACCGTTTTCGAATAAACCATCTTGATACCACTATAACAGTCCCCCAGGTCTCTCTGGTCCTCAAAGAACTCCTAGCTAAGTGTCAGTCTGGTCAATATGGCTTTATTCTTCAGCACTGTCGACCAACTGATATTATGATCGTTCCGGGCCCGGCCAGACCAGTCTCAGTTAAATGGCCGAACCAAGTCCGCCGAACAAAGCCCGAACAGGCGGTACGGGGATCAATGCCATCATGTAGATAATACGGCGTAGTGCTCACTAACTTGGAATCTCTTTTGTCCTTTCCTCGATTTACTTATAGCCTTTCATCCCAAACAGGGTCTTACTCGCACATAACCACAACCTAGTCGAAGGGCATCTTCATGCATAAAATTATGGAAACGCGATTCTCGAGAAAACGTTGCTATCAGGCAATGCACATGCGATAAGAAAGCGGTCAGCATGCGGGGCGCGGGGCGAGCGAACCGATTCGTTCGGCCCGACCAGGCGACCAGAAGATTCTCCAGAAGTGTCATCACCCTCGGTCTCGATTCTTATCGCACGACATACGCGAGGGTCGACTCAATTGACCCCTGACCGAGTTTATACCGGGACCAGCAAGTGAAAGACTTATCCATTGCCATCTTTAAATACCGGCTAACATCGTTACGATTCGTTCGATTCGACTCCTAGAATTCAACTTCCGCCTCATCTGTTAATTGTTCAAATTCCCCGGCCGCCCCTCAACTCACTCAACAGCCCACCATCACCCCACCACATATCATCAGTCCCTCCCACTCCATAAACAATAGAACATATACAAGAAGAATGACCGACACAGCCATTCAACCAGACCCGGCCCTAACTCAATTAAATGGAGGCACCTCGAACCTAAAAAACATGGCGCCCCATCTGCCCTCCCCACAAGCGCAATGCACTTCCATACCCTCCACACAACAGCCAACAACAACAACAACAACATCCTCCTCGCTCTCAGAAATTATCGCCCAATGCCACCACAAAGTGCACAGCTTCCTCGCCGAATCACATCCCCCCGACTCCCTCCTTGCCGCCGTCCAACGCCAAACTCGTATCTCCCTCGACGTCGCCGCAACAGCTCTCTCCCGCTACAGCCTCCCAGAGCTCGCCCTCTCTTATAACGGCGGAAAAGACTGTCTGGTCCTCCTGGTGATCTTCCTCGCCAGTCTGCACCCGCATCCACCGCCCGAAAACGGCGGTCTTAAGTCCATTCCGGCGATATATGCTCTACCGCCGGATCCCTTCCCCACGGTCGAGGAGTTCGTCCAGTGGTCGTCGAACGCCTACCATCTTGATATCATAAAGTACACGACGGAGCCGCCGAAGACGACGATCAAGTCGAGTTTTGCGCACTACCTATCCCTCCATCCCAGTGTGAAGGCGATTTTCGTCGGCACTCGCCGGACGGATCCCCATGGCGCTAAGTTGACTCATTTCGATCGGACGGATAGTGGTTGGCCCGATTTTGTTCGTGTTCACCCAGTAATCGATTGGCACTATGCGGAGATCTGGGCTTTCATCCGTCAACTGGGTTTAGAATACTGCCCTCTCTACGACCAGGGATACACGAGTCTCGGTGGCCAGACGGATACTCACCCGAATCCCAAGCTTCGCGTCGACATTGCGGCAGATAACGAATTCACTAAAAACTACCGACCAGCATATGAGTTGACTGAAGACCTGGAGGAGCGGCTGGGGCGCAATTAAGTCCCCTTGACCGCCGGCATGGTGTGTTACCAGGACTGTCAAACTGCTCACGCAGACATTTCTTGTTTCATCCGATGTTTGCATAGAGAGCGATCTGAGAAGATTGGATGACATTGCGTATTGGACCCCACTTTCTATTACCGCCCTTTTTCACGGCTTTCTCTTTTCCTCTTATATCTCTATGTATACGGTAGAAGAATAGATTTTATATATCGCTGTGGGCTGCTGTTTGCAACGTCGTGAGTACAAATTCCATTAAACATTTACCTAACCTGTATCATGTTGAACAAAGGGATGTGTCTCTAAGTCAGATACCACAAATAGCAATTCTCAACCATACTCATCGATCTCCTTTTTTATGGTCTTCATGTGCACGGGCCAAGTGTAAAGGATATAGATCTTAAAAGCCATGCTGTCGACCGCCATAGAACGGGCATGTTGTCAAAACAAATCAAGACCAGGTAGCAATTGGCAAAATCAAAAGACGACCGCAATGCGGTGACAAAACAAACAAAATTGACAGAACTAACATGGGAAAACGTGCTTTTGGAAACATTGTAACCTATAGCATATGCTGACATGTAGTCATGGAGCCGAATGTGGTGGTAAGACCGGAAGCAATCCATAAGTGACTCAGTGAACGGATCTCGGAGATTTAACAACGATCTCCCTGCGGGACGGAATAGGCGACAAAGACTCAGCCTTGATACTCTCCTTCCGGGGGCTGGTTGGCCCAGAATGGGATTCGGCACAAGGAGAGTTGGGCAAAGCAGTCCTAGACGAGACTGTCCTCGACGAACCGCCAGAGATTGAATCCATCCAGGCTACACGACTAATAGGAAGCCGTCCACGATAGACAGGCGTATGATCAAGTGTCGCTGGGCTGTTCCCGGCAGACCAGGTGTTGAGGTGTACATTACCGGGCTGGTTCTTCACCACAGCATACCTGTTTTCTCATCAGCCGGGTTCATATCTTATATACACTTGTTGATACGTACGGAGGGGAAATGGATGTCGCAGGAGTCCAGGTAGGGCCCATCCCCACGGGCGAGGGATAACTGACTTGGGAGCTGGGGCTGAGATGGGACGCAGTCTGTTGCAGACGATGCAAAGAAGGCGAGGGGGTTGAGCCTTGGACTACCTCAACTGAGTAATTGTACTCCCCGGCTCGATAAGCCCGGCGCTCATTGCTTTGCTGTTTGAGCAGCTTCTGAGCTTTAGTGTCGGCAAAGCGAAGGAGTAACTTGACGCCATCTTTTGCCACGGCATTGTGGAATTCGGCCAACACTTTCTCTGCAATCTCACGGGTCTCGAATCTGGGCAAGATGTTAGGGTTCAAGAACATAATAGAATGAGCTGCAACACCTACCGGGCAAATCCAACTTCTTTACTCACGCCCGTCTTTTCATCGCGGCTAATCTTCTCGGACACGACACGGTAGGGCTCAAAATGACGACGAAGATCCTGAAGAGAAATTCTTGTCAGCCCGATAACGATGAAAAGATCAGTCGGCTCACTGCCTCAGTCCAGTCGTTCGGAATATTGGTGCAGTATATATTAGTGGATGTTTTGTCTTCCAGATCCTTGAGACGCGAGTTACGAGATTTCTTAGCCATATTAGCCATGATCGCCGTCCATTGAGCATCGCAAGTAGTGATTTACCTGAGCAAAGCTGGCTTGATAGCCAAGATAGAAGAAACCCCGAATGCAATTCTCGCAGGATTCGAAGTTGTAATACTGCACAAAGCCAAAGCTACCGATTCCGTGAGTGATGAGGTGGGAATAATGGACACGTCACATACCCTTTGCAAAGACCCGTATCTAAATCCACGATTGCCTTGCAACGATCAATCTTTCCGAAGCGGGATGCATATGCGTACAGCATCTCATCGGTCGTCTCCGGCAGGAAGCCCCGGATGTAAACATTGGTGATACCCTCCCGGTTCTCGAGGCATTTAGCGAGTGTAAGATCGGACGGATTGGTCCACATTGCAGGCACTGCCCGCGGAATTGGGGGATCCTGCTGTGTCAGACTCTCCAAGTCTTGAAGAATGTAACCGTTAGGAGTCTTCATCATCTGAAATGGAAGGTTGAGGCTTTCGTTCTTCTGCTCCTCATTACAGTTCACCAGATAAGGAAGGGTCGGGTACGGAAGAACATTTGGGTACATATATGGCACCTGAGGTATCTGCGGTATCTGGGGCATCTGATCCGGAAGAAAGACAAAAGGATATTTTGGACGCTGCGCCTGAAGGTTCAAAGCGCCGAGCAGGGGGGTCAAGACATCACCCGAGTGCTGAGGAGCCATGGTAGCGTTGTAGTACCTGACAACCTTCAACAGGAACTGAGCTGACGGCACACAGACTCTTTGGGGGATGTTCCGATGTATAGTTGTACGTGTTTGATAAACGACTAACAACGGGTCATTCGACAGCGCAGGGAACGAGGAGAACAGGAATCAGGTTAAGCAGCAAGGTAAGAGTGAAGAAGAGAAGGAAGAGATGGAGAAGACGAAGGAGGAACGAACAATGAGCGGGAAATTTCCTTCATGTTCTCACTCGCTATAAGGAAAGAGTATGGTGTCTTCCATACATGGCAGGCACCGCCGTGCTTGTTGGGGAAGGAACTTACAGTCAACACCAAAGTAGGTCGCAGCTTGAACGATACCCGAAAGCGTGACTTGACAGCCTATTGGAGTTGGCTGGACATACTTACCAGATACCCGATACTATTTACCAGGGTTCAAGTTGCAATGATAATACTGGAAGTTATAAATCAATTCAACGGTTGGTTAAATCTTTACTAGCTACTACTAGTAGTACTATCGCGTCACATGGATGTACTTAGAGAGCAGGTGATATACAGTCGGAGACTGTATATCATTGGTGTTTTTGTTATGTATATGTACAGTATCGTTGTACAGCCCTGACAACTATAAACGGTAAGCGTCATTGTCAACAGTCACCCGTGACATTTTCCACCACGGCAGTCTTTGGGTATGTTCACGGTTTCAACTGAAGAGTCCCCCTAACCTCTTTTGATTTCTTGTAACAGTAGGACTTGTAATAGTAGGATTCATATAAGGCCGAGCGAGGTCTCCGAAGGAGTCGCAAGCTCAGGGAGTAGCGAACTCCTTCGCATATGCATTTACTCAGCATTCTAGCTAGTCGATTATCTAGTTCGGTCCGTCGAACAAATTCCTATCTAAGTGAGCTGTTCGCTGGCTCCTCGAACTGTTTGGTGAACCATCGACTAGTTCGGATATGCGTCGAACCTTTTCGCGATACCAGCGAATCATGCGAAATCACACTCTAATATATGGATCATTACGCGAAGACGATGTACGCATTCTTTTTGTAGTTTATTCTATTTATGTATGAATACTAGAGAATATCGGGGAAACGAGCTAATTCGAGTCATGTTTGTCTGAAGACGTGAATAATCATCATGAAAAAGTTAGATTCCCAACTCGTACAAACTTCAGGAAAAGCCGACTATAACAAAATAGGATGAAACCCGAGAAAAAAGCGAAGGGTAAAATGAGTGATGAAATAGAAGGTTAGGAAAAGAAATCCATGGGAGGGAAGGTACGTCTATCCTGCACGTTGGCGTCAGTATACATCAACTTCGGTGTATAAACTATATGCAGCCTCAACAGGGACTAATATTAGTCTCCCTTACAGATCCGGCGCTTGCCCGCTAAACTCAAGGGCGTTAGGACTGTCTTTCACGTGAGGATATCGGCTCTCGGAGCTCCGCAGCCATTCCCGAAGAGGACTTCCCCGCATGGAGACGAACGGAGAGAGCGGAGAAGCTGGAGCGTCGAGAGCAAGTCAGACCACTTGGAGTTACCAAATCTTGTGCCTGAGAGGTTCCGATGCTCCCCTGGTGGGTGGATAGCTCGGGTAGCAACGGACAAAAATACCTCGTTTCCTTATTCCCGTCGAATCCATCCACCCTCACGATTCTGACCTACCGTTGCAGCTGAAGCCAGCGTTTGAACTTTATTACCCAGCTTTGAAGGACATGGGTTGCACCGGAAGCCAAATATAATTATAGCTGTTCCCCCATTTCTTTCTCTCATCATCAGCACGCCCGACGGAAACACCCATACTTAATTTACCAGTCACCTGGTGCTCTGTCCAGTACACAGCCTTGAGTTGTCAAGATGAGCATGTCGCGTGCGCTATCCCTTCCTCTGCGGAGGGTGTCTGCCACTTCTCCTGCTCTACGTTTGTCGCCGTCAGCTTTCACAGCTACTAGAGCGTTCTCCAGTTCATTACGACGTGATGCTACATGGGGGTTTGTCGGGTTAGGCCAAATGGGTATGTTAATATTTTGTCTGGTTCAACTATAATACCTATGTTTTCCCCGACCACCTAGAATGATCGACCTGTATACTGGGAGGCACTGGGCCACAGCTCCGATGTTTACTTAGCACTCCTTATCTCCTTACACCCGAACCCATTGAATAAACCATCTCGTTCTACTTCGCGCCTTTTACCTTTTCTAACCGCATGCACTACCGGGAACTAAACATCATTGTCTCCACAGGCTACGCCATGGCCAAGAACTTGCGCGCTAAGATCCCCGCATCCGACACACTAATTATCCGCGACGTAAACGAAAACACCGCCAAAAGATTCGTCGAAGAGAACCAAGAAGCTGTCCGGAACAGTGGAGCTAAGGAAGACACCTCCAAGGTGCTTATCGCTCAAAACGCACGAGAAGTGGCGGAACAATCGGTAAGTTACGCGTTGCGTTTTATTATCCCCCCACCCCCACGGGAACAATTCATGCCACAAGGATCCGCACAAACCTTGGTTAAAAGGAGTCTCCATTATGGACTGGAAAGTGCTATATATACACACTCATGGACTCGAGTACTTGCATTGGCAAAAGGGACTAAAAAAGAAGAAAAGAAAGGGATTGGCATTATTTGATTAGTTTCTCGTGGGGTTAAGAAAATGAAGTCACATACTAAACTACCATCTCCAGACTGTGATAGTCACCAGCCTTCCGGAACCCGAACACGTCAAGGACGTCTTCTATTGTATGCTCCGCGATGGCGACCTCCCGGCCCTAGAAAAGGAGCGTTTGTTCATCGACACCTCCACAATCGACCCAGCTTCGTCCAAAGAAATTGCCAATGCTATCCATACAACACGCCAAGGGCGATTCGTCGACGCCCCGATGTCAGGCGGAGTGGTGGGGGCCCGCGCCGGCACGCTATCCTTTATGTTCGGGGCTTCGTCGCAGACTGGAGAGCTCATTGATCGCGTTCAGTCCGTTTTGATGCTCATGGGCAAGAAGGCATGGCACATGGGTAGTTCAGGAACAGGCGTTTCTGCCAAATTAGCCAACAACTATCTCCTGGCCATCAACAACATTGCTACCGCCGAAGTTATGAATCTGGGAATCCGTTGCGGGCTCGACCCCAAGGTTCTGGCCGATATGATCAATACGTCGACTGGTCGCTGCTGGCCGATGGAAATCAATAACCCTGTTCCGGGCGTGGTCGAGACCGCGCCAGCGTCGCGCGAATATGCCGGCGGGTTTGGCATCAGTTTAATGAATAAAGATCTTCGACTGGCGATTTCCGCTGCGGAGGAGTCCGGTACTCCTCTCGCCTTGGCCGATAAGGCCCGGAGGGTGTATAAAGCGGTGGAAGATGAGCATCGAGGTAAGGACTTCTCGGTGGTTTACAAATGGCTACAAGAGCAGTCGGCCACTCAATAGTAGCAAATTATGCTCGGATTGGTATCATTATTTCCTGGTTGATTTTCTTTTAGCGCTGCACTGTTTTGAGAACCCTACATCGTCTTCTGTTCTTTTTTTCCCTCACTTTATATGCGATGATATATGCGGCAGAGCTAGAATTGCATTTGCGGGCAATTGGACAAATATAACGAGATTATAGGTGTATTCCTTTCGGGTTTGACCCAGATAATATACATAAGTCTAACTTCTACCGCAAGGAATAACTACTGGCCTGTATAAAACATCCCAGAGAGAAAAATCAATGACAAGCGGGTATGTAGTATATGTAATCTCCGAAATCAAAATTGTGCAGAAACGCCCCCACATTGCACGGATTATCAGATTGAAGGAAAAAGTAACGTGTGGCTGACAAGAAAATAGGATGCTTATACAAACCAAGTATGCTCCGTAGGCGAAAATGCATTGCAAAGATGAATCGGATGCTTATTGACCCGGTGATGCCGGGTTGCTGACTGGACCCGTGAGATACTCTGGCGGCACTTTCGGCACACGGGGTGAACTTGCAGTCTGAGCCATAGCCCGGTGTTGAGCTCGGACAAGATCGCGCTGTCGCTCTTTATCTCGGTTATTCGCGGCGCCGCCAGTAAGCCGTCTCATACCACTGCGGATCATGGACTCAAGTGACGAGGACCCATCAGTTGCGCTACGTGTTTGGTTGAGTTGATGAGGTGCCAGTCTATTAGCTATGATACGCTCATCGAGATCATACATTCCTTCTTCCACCTCATCATCGGAGAGGAACGCAGATTCGTTGAAGCCAATAGGTGGACTGGCAAATTGGACACTGGATGACGTCGGGGAAAATAACTGATTGACAGGAGACGTGACAGAACGAGCGTGCGAGACTGGGCGTAACGTTTGACTCGACGCCTGAGGTGTCAGTACCACTGGTGAATGTACCCCAGGGCCATCGAACCGGAAATTTGGGGGTCGAGATTCAGCGAGGCCGTTGTGGAAGGACGACGAGGAAGCTGTTCGGGCGAGAGACTTCCGTAAAATTGGGGCTGTTTGTTGATCATAGAGACTGGCGCTAGTGTCAACGTAGGCCCCTGTAAAGCCACGCAATGCCGAGTCTGGAATAGAGTCAATTGTCGGGTTACTTGTCTCGGTCTCCTCAAAAAAGTCGTCTAGGCTGTCCAGTTTCTGTACAATATCTCCAATATTGCCATCCGCCTGCGTGTCAATAGACTTCATCGTATCAGCCCGCATAGGGAAGAAGGAATCGTTGTATTCGTCCGCATGGAACTCTACTTCGGATGGAGCGGTCTCTTGCACTTCTATGCGATCGACCTCAGCACAGGTGTAGAAGACAGCGTGGACGTTATGGCGGGTGATACTCGACTGGGTAGCAGGCATTGGGATGGACCATCCGCTGGGCTCTGGTATACCATACAGACTTTGAATACGCTCGTATTCTTTGCGGATAGCCCGAGATGAAGACGACGATGCCATACTCATCCGAAGATGATGACGCTCCATAGGGTTTCCTGAGACAGTCATAATATGATCCATCACCTGCAGAGCCTGAGGGCAAAGATCGGTTTGCAAAAGACGCAAAAGGGGCGAGATCAAGTCAGGGCCATGGCATGTCACCTCTCCCCGTCGCATGTCGATTTCGGGAATGAGCACGCAAAGTATCTTCATGGTTTTGACCCGGAACCAATCAGTCGTGTTGGTCAACAAGCCCATGAGAAAGATAAGACTCTGGACATCTTGTCGAGGGAAATAGTACGAGCGAATTTCCGTGATAATGTGGCTCAAGAAATCGTTCTCGGCCTTATACTGTCCATTTGCAAACCCGAGGAGAGACGCTGCAAGGCGGGGGCATCTCTCACTCTCAGCAACACGAGCTAACAACGTGGCACGAGCAAGTGTCTTCGGATCATCGACAGCAGGATCAAATTGATGTAGAAAGTGGGCCATGTTTGCTAAAATTGTGAAGAGAAGACGGTTACCATCACCCATGAGTTCGTTGTTTGGAAAACCACTCAAACGGTGCAGAACATCCAGTGTCAAGTTAAGCGATTCGCATGATTTCAAGCCTTTATAGACTAGATTCTGAAGACCATCAAATCCACCCTCCCATTTAGGGGGCTGGCCTTTGATAAGCTCTGTGACAACCATTGGGTCACTCAGATCGACGCGCTCCATGAACTTTTCCAACATACCAATACTCTCAATAAACTCTGTCTCATGGATTGTGTTTAGACATGCACATGTGGTCCAAAACAATTGTGGATAGCGCAGAAGATCCGTTGGGGCCAAGGAACTAATTATAATCTTGAGCGTTGTGAGGATCTCCATCGAAAATGTCCGGTAGTCTGCTTCCTCATCCGCAATAGTATTTGACAGTCGAGCTAGCATATCTGCAAGCATCCTAGAATCCAACGACATGGATATGCAGCGAAATACCTGGAATGATCGACAGGCAAGATGTCGTACGGGGCAAGAAGTCGCCCAATTCAGAGCCTCTTTGGCCCAAAGATCATTTATACCTTCATATGCCAAACTGAAGAAATCAACAACCTGCCGAGTCACACTTCCCATTGACGGAGGAACACGGCTGCCGGTATCCTCTTCATCCTTGTCATTGAGGTCTTCGTATTCCCAGACCACCTTTGGGTCGCTTTTGCGGATAGACTCTACAAAATCTTCGATAGACTGCCTAGTTCCAGCTGAGGCGTCGTCTTCAAGCTTGGCAGCAATTAGTTCATGAATCAGGTGAACCAACATTTCTCTAGCCTGTTCTTGTACGGTGAGTGTGTAGTGATCCCAGAGAATCAGGACAACGTGAAGTAGCTTGACTACATCTTCCAGGGGAAGGGTAACGGGAGCAACCATCAAGTCCACGAGAAAGATAAGAGCGACTTGGCCAAGAGAAAGCCCTGCCTGTTTGTTCCCTACCGGGAGTACAGTTGCCAGGTCTGCGACATAAGGCAAGCCCTTGATATCCGGCGGAGGCGGGGTTATATCTTTTCTCTCCTGTACCATATTCTTGGGAACAACTTGCAGCAAGAAAAACTCGATAACCTTTGAACCAGCAGGAGTTCCTGCAAGGAAAACAACAACTTGCTTAGCATACTCCACAAAGTTCTGTTCTTTACGCTCCAAGCAAAGACTAATAACAAAGTCAAGGACCAGCTGCACGTTCCCGCCGTGTGGACCTGTTGTCAGTGCTTGCCAAAGAGCTTGGACTTCATTTGGAAGTATAGTGCTGCCCCGAATAGTGATCTCGAAAAGGTTAGCTAAAAGCATATACGACCTGGCCGTGGGCCCGCCGTTGGGATCGACTTGAAGCTCGATTGTCTGTACCCATGGCAAAATAGCAGCAACCATGTTTCGTTGACTATCGGGCCGCAAGTTCCTGAAGTGTAAGGAGAATTCTGAAAAGAGAGTAAAAGCAAGGTCAGAGTGTTGTTTTGCTAAACGCTTAGACGTTTCAAACTGTGCTAGTTTGTATACTGCGGTGGTTTTGTCAGAAATGCTGATGTCGAAGTCTTGCAGTCTAGAGCTCTTCTGTTGGCGTTCCTCTAGGATGCGAAGAAGTTTGGCAGACTTCATTCTGATTTCCCGTTTCTGATTACCGAGGGTGACGAGGACTGCTCCCAAGATCCTCCAGAAGCCAAGCGGGTAGTCCGTGTGCTCGATGAGTACCTCAGAAACCACTTCAAAGTAACTCTCTAGAGCCTTGGGCCGTTCTGTGACATAGCACATCTCTATCGACCGTTCCAGCAGGTAAGCATGTTCTTTATTGTGAACGATCAGATTCTTAAGTGCTCGTCTGCCAATCGCATGCCACTTATCACTGATAGTGCTAAAGATAATATCGATCCACGATAGCATTCGCCCCACATCGAATTGAAGCACTGAGCCACTTTCTGTAGTAATGCTGATAGGTCCCGCCTTCAAGAATTAGCTGACGACATCAATCATGGGGGGTGAAGCAGGTACTTACACACAAAGATGCCATTGCGCTAAGCGCCGCTGCACGTAAATTCTTCTTTTCTATCTCCATTGCTGCTGCAGTGTTACGTAGGTCGCCGGTTTCGCGCTGGTTTGCAATGGCAAGTTTTCGCATATTTTCCTCTCTCTGAGAGATCTGGGCCTGGTTTGGAGAGTATCCACACCAATCTTCCATGAGAGAGAACGCGGACTTTCTGGATTCGAATGGTATCCAACGTGAAGAATCCTTTGTGCGATGGATTCCCTCAAAAAGCTCTTCCATTAGCCCGCAGTAGTGAAATCGTAGCCGCTGGAATTCCCAATCATTCTGAACTTCAGCATCGCTCAAAAATATCCGTAGATCTTTCGCGTATGTAACGAGATTGTTGACGATCCAGTCGTCATTATACACTTCTGGCTCCTGCAGAAAGTGCGATGTAAGCTTGTAAACATGGGTGACTTCCGTCCGCAGCCTATCTGTTCTTCGATTGCGTCTTGGGCTGCTCGGAGATCGGTGGTGCGTGCCAATGCGAATCTTAGCCTCCTCGTTGCAGGTTGTGACGGCGTACTGGAGTGACTCAAGCAAGGTACGATAAAGATTAGTATTTATGGAACCCAAAGCGACAACAATTGCATTGCGGATGGAGGCCCTCTCAGCTGACAGCAACGGAATTACAAATGCAAAGAGGCTCCTGGCGGAACTGATCTTGTCATTTGATTGCTGGGAACCTTTAGAAGATTTCCGCGCATGTTGGGCATTGGCTAGCTGGCTCTGAGACTGGGCGCCTACACTGTTGACAGTCGTGCAGGCCATGACCAAGTAAAGCTTCCACTGTTCGATCAGAATCTCAGCAGTCATATGGAACCTTCCATGGGGGCGGGCCTGTGTGGCATCCAAGGGGCCATATGGAGGATGTTGGGGATTTTCAGCAAATCCCGTTATCGTTTTGTGCATCTGAACAAGTCTTGCGCAGACAATCTCCCGCCCGAGAGTAACAGCAAACGGACAAGTCTCAAAACTGATCCGGATAATATTCGGAAACACCTTTGACCACAATGTCGAATCGTATGACACTTCACTGCTGCACAGTTCGATAAGCGTGTTTTGTGATGCACTCCTCCGCTTTCCTTTCTGAATGCGGCTTCTCTCGGCAACGGTGAGCTGCTCATCACTTACATTCAAGATCTGGTGAGAGTCGGCCTCGAGAATCTTGATTATTCGTGTGTTCTCCTTACCAAGCGCCCTATC